CTTTTGGTGAGAAAAGTATTGAAAGAAAATTGGCAAAGTACACACAAAAATTATTAAACATCTTATTAAATGCAGTTTCCACAAATGATTCTGGCATGTTCTAAACAAACATGTTTTACATTTTGCACAAAAATATTTAGGAAGTCTTTGTTGTTTTCCGTTTTGTAAGGTTCATATTTTTTCATTTCCTTACAGACGTCTCCTACACATCGTCTTTCTCTTTGGGACGAAATTTGCGCAGTGCAGAGATCTAGTTTCAACATGCTCACTGTAAATGAGAGTGAAAGGATAAAAATAGAAAGCCAGGTGTTTTCAGAAAAGTACTATAAAAGAATACATGAAATATTAGACTACTAAATGCATGGCAATTATACAGGAACATAAAATTGCTGTGGCTTGGATTTCACAGATCTATTGCGGGCACTCCCAGGTTAGAGAGACTTGTGATTATTGCAATGATTATTCAACTTAAAGCAACACATAAGCTTTTTGCTTTCTTGATGTGTACGTGTAAAATTCTCAGTGGCTGCTTTTATGAATGCTGTGTTATCGTGAAAATTATTAATACTGAATAAAATACATTAAAAATATCGAGTGCTTTGCTATGCATCATGAACACATGTTGAAATTACAGCAGTTTTGATGTTAATGTTTTTTATTCCTCTATCATTGACAGAACCCATAAACCCCTAACATAGCCCAGTTGTGGGATGGCCAAACAAGGGCAAAGGATAGCAACACAAGAGACTGTCATTCTACCAAACCAAACATAAAAGCCAATGCTTTCACCTTAATTTCATACCATTTAACATCACTTCCTTGACGAGTAAGATTTATTTTATATATTTCTAAGCCGTGTAAGAAATTTATGATACTGGAGGAGACTAGGAATTTCGGAAGAACTTCGTGTTTCTATTAAGAGAAGTTGTTACCTATTAAGTGCATTGCTTTATCAAAATGCACATTAAAAAGTAAATAATCCAAAACAATTGCACATAAAAATCATGACTCATTAAGCCATTGATTTAAAATTGATTTTCTAAGCAACAGTTCATTTAGAAACTTAACACTTATTAAAGGTATTATCTTGTTTCTTTAACTTAATGCGCAAGTCATAACTTCTTAACAAAATGTGTCAATAATTAAAAATGTAATTCATAATGTAATTATACAAAAGTTTAATTCTTTTTCAGGCACTTCTAGCAGTAGAGAATGCTGTAAAGCAGTTGGATGTATTGCCAGAAGAATACAGACAGTTCTATGGGAAGAGAATGATTAGAGCTTTAGAGAACAGATTTTCAAAAAGATGAAGGAATAATGTAATAACAAGTAAAATAATCATATTATTAAAAAATGTTTAATAATTTGCTTCCAATGTGTCTATCTACATGTCAATTTAAAAAATCCTTATCCTAAAGGTTTGTCTTCATCATAAAAGAAAATCTTGTATCTCTTTCCTCAACTGCTTCTGCATAATCTCTGTCTTCGCAGAACTTGTAATGTCGCCAGGAAGGAAATCCAAAGAATCCTGTGAAACAAATGACATAAATTACCAAAGATTCAAATGAATTTTGTAATTTGTTTACTAACATGTGGTTCAAATTCGGCTGTAAACTTCTTACCATTTCTTTCACAATTAGCCTGCAACCATAACAGAGATTCTCTTTTATTTGTTCAAAGTCAAGTTTCTGCAGATGATTCTGAGAAATGCAAGTGCACTGATAATTACTAGTACAACAATTAGAATCTCCCATTGAAGATATCGCATTAGAATGTAAATCAGAGCTACTGTGTGTCAACAGATCTTTAACATCAGCAAACATCGGGGAAGATATTAACTGGGAAAATTCAGTAGCTTGCATTGAAGAAGAATCTTGTTTCAAAGTATCCAATGGTGTCTACAAATAAATTTCAGTCAATTAAAATGTAAACAACATATGACATAATTCCACTATTAGCCAACTTACTTCACAGAGTAAACAGGTTTTACATTCTACATTTCTGGTCCCTTCAGAAGTGAGTTTATCACCAGTACGGAAAATTGTTGACACTGTGGAAGGAAAGTCTTTCTGGAGTTCTGTAATAAACTTCTCAGTCAATCTTTGAATACTTGAAAATGGGTCAACCTGGAATATAAAACATTCACATTCAAAGTTATCATTTTTATAATAATGGTAATAATATGAAGGGCTCACATGTAAAATACGATAACCCTCAAAATTGTAGTTTTTTGTAATTATAATTAATTACATAATTTATAAATATTTTTTTTTATTACTATTGTTCTTGGTGTGCGATCCTCAAATAGTACCAATTTGTAACTGAAAGGTGGCCTCTACATTTTATTTTCGCTTAACCTGCTTACACCCCTTAATTGAAAATATTTGCTTATTTCTTATAAGTATATCCATGAGAATTTTCATGTTTTACAACTGAGCTCTTCCTATAATATCAAAACAACATAAATAATCGCAATCATAACTATTTTTTGTCAATCTAATTTTATATATTTTGTTAGTATACTATCTTCTAATTAAAATATTTCATTGTACCTTTGAACTAAGTTTTGGATAAGAGACAGATCCAATGTTCTTAAAAACCATATAAAATGCTATTTCTTTTTTCATAAAATCTCTCATTGGACGAAGTAGCTTTGTTTTACCATGTCGGAAGTCACAAAAACCCTGGAATACAGAATTACAGAATGACTGCTGAATAAAGGTCAAAATTTCTAAAAAACCTAAATCTAAATAAACTGATTGAAGCAAAAAAAGCACTGCACAATGTAAATAAAAACCTAAATATTAGAGAATGTATCAGTAATTTTGGCATTAAAAAATAAAAACACACACACAACACAACAACACCCCTTATCTTAAATCAGGAGCCCTGAACTAAGAGAGGGTAAATCCTCACTGAAAACCAAAAGGGGTGGGTGATCTTCAAAGATCTGTACGCCAACTTCTGTATTTGGTGTAAACCTGAAACATCACCTTACTGTTGCCAGATTAAGAGGTTGGATATGAGACCACAACCATTCATGGTAAATAAAGTACTCAGCTGAAAGAAAGGAAAATAGATGGAACCCTATATACAAATCTTTGAATTCCAGAACTATTAAAACGGTATGCTAAATCCAACATAATGAGAACATGCATATATCAAGTTTTCAACGGGAAAATTTGATAAAACGCACAGCCAATGCACAAAACAAAAGCCATGTAAGTCATAGTAAAAAATTCTGTAAAAAACATAATAGAAACATTAAAACTATCAAGTTCACTACAAAAATGTTTTGCAAAATCCATAAGAAATAGTAAACAAATTAAATCATTTCTCAGAAAGTGGACGAAAATTAATCCATCATCATTCTTTAAATAATGTAAATATGCAATCTGATATTTGCACCAAAAGTAAATTTCAAACATGTCTATGAAACATCACCCTACGAAACACAAATCAACAGTCTCTTCAGAACTGGAGAATATCCCCGACTTCATTCTGCATCACACATAATATTGTAACAGCTGCATATTACAATTGCTCCCCGACATTCTAACCACTCTTTGATGACAGGCATCCTCCCAGAAACTTGAAAAAAATGAAACTTGCCCACTATTCAAACTAGTGGGTTCGCTTGGCATACCGAAACTTTTCCTTCTCAAGTGTTTTTACTCTCCATCGACTCATTTTGGAAAAAAGTGCATGACATCATTTAAAGATCCAAAATATAAGGATAAATTGCATTGAGAAAAAACTGGCAGTAACATTGGAGGTGTAGGAGAGGTTTGAAACTAAATATAAACTTTTGCAAATTTCAGAGGTTTTAAAGAAAAAATTTGTAGCCTTTTTCCAGAAAATTTTGAAGCATCTCCAAAAATTCAAATATCTTAATGATCTCTGGAAGGGCACAACTAGATCTTACTTCTGACATATTTATCAACTTTCAACACAAAAGCTGCTAATTTGACAGACTTATGTGTGACACACACTCGTCCACTATCCATAAGTGCATCCCAATTTTTAGATCAAAATTGCATGCATCTTCTTGACACCCACACCAATTTTGGCTGTCTTTGGAATAACATGATGTCCTGATGTGTGTAAAGAACAAAAGAACCTTTAACACAGATTATAAGACCAGAATTTCAAGACCATGTTGTTGAGGGGATTCACAAATCTCTCTACAAACTTCGCCTATTCTAGAGTGAGGAGGAAAAGTAAACACTCATTACCTCATGAATTACAATATCCTTACTTTATGGATTTTCAAAAATTCAAGACAAATCTTTTAAATAAGACTCATAAATTTTGCCTATTCAATAATACTGACAAAAATCCACATAGATTTGGTAATGGCAATATACAGACACAGCCATCCTTCATAAGGCACAAACTTTTTGCTTTACATCAAAATGAAATTCCCATTATTGGTTTCACAATTTGTTAAAACCATTAAGACAACATTGACCATCAGAACGTGAAAGTTTGGAAATTAGAGATGTTGGATATTGAAGCGTCAATTCGTACCCTTTAAATAAGAGTTAAGTATTTACAATCCAGTAAATGATAAAAAGATTTTAACCCATTTTTCACAAATTAGAAAGATAATTTTTGAAGCACTGCAAAGATCATTGTTGGTATACTGCACTATACTCTATATACATCAATGATATGCCTCCTATTCTCAAAAACAACAAAATAGTTCTACTTGCATAAGACATAAACATTATTACTAAAGAAAATAATCTTCACAAAAAACGAACACAAACACTGAAGTACCAGTAGAATTGTTTCAAGAATATAACCATCAACCCAAATCAAATTGGACATCAAAAATATCTCATCCAAACTACATCATACGTAGGACTGACTATTCAAGATCTCAAATCTCTTGTAATAGACCTCAAATAGAATTTAGTAATAACTTAGTAAATGGTCCCAGTCTTAAGTAAATGGTAAAGGTTCCATTTTAATTTACAATTTCAATAAGGAATATTAATAATAATATGAATTAGTAAAATCCAAAATTTAAATATTCTACCATCAAAAGGTACTAAGAATAAAACAAAATATTCAAATTTAAATGTACTAGGTATAAGCAAACATACCATTTACATTTCATGAATATTATTAATAAAAAAAATGTTTATTCTATGAACAGGGTGTTGCCTACAGCATTTATAATCCCATGTCCACTCCATTGCAATGAAGAGGGTAGCAATTCTAGATACATCGATGAGGACCATGGTGAAAATCACAAGTGAAGACAAATTTTGAAGGAAACATATTCAATTATAGGGAAAAGTGGTCAGAAAATGAAGGAAGGGTAAGGAGGTGAAAGGAGTGTTTGTTGCATCATTTTGTAAATTACCAGGGGATTGGGGGTGGCTGTTCTGTTAATTAGCCAATAAAAGCAAATGCAATATTCAAACGATGGTCATAATTTCCACATTGCTGGAATGAAAGTCAAATACTTACAACTTCATATGGCAACTGAGCACCCCTTCCCAGTGACAAATTTGCCATTATTGAAACAGCCAGGTCTGTAGCACAGTCCCCTACAAAGATTTTTGAGCAGTCAAGTTCTTCGGCAACAGAAAATAACAGCTTATGCCTGAACAGAACAAAGAAAAATTCTGAATTAAACAAAATATTGCAACCTGTCCCAGTCAGAAATAATAACGATCTGCAAAATTATATTTTACCCAGTGCAATATAAACAAATTAAGAAGTTTTTATTACAGCAACTAGAGAAATTCTGACACACTTCAGACATACTGGTTACCTCAATTTCAGCAGTAAATCTTCTTTAGAGGACAAACTTTTCAGTTGAGCAAATAAGGATTGTAACCTTAACTCCCTTTCCTCATTTACATGCCACACCATGCTTTCATGAAGTTCTTCACATAACTTAGAATGAGAAGAACTGATGTCTAAACATCTGTCTAAACTTGTAATAAAGCCAGGTATGCCATACTTTTTGGTTAATTTTGCCATAGAAATGCATATTTCTTGACGTTGTTCATAAGTATGTCCCAAAACTGCCCCTTCTGCAAAAATAGCACAAGTGTATATAGTTGCAAAAAAAAATTTTTTTTATTCAGTCAGTATAAATATTTACATACAAAATACCTACACATTGATAACAGTGTTTAAAAGCCATAATTTTGTATATTTAATGTAATCATTGAATTTAATGTTATTGTCTAATTCTGTAATTTACAATGATTTAGTTGAATTGGAGTCATGTCTCCCTTGCCCTTCTCGGATGTAAAAACGGAATATTGTAGAGGTACACAAAGAAGTCTGGATGCTAGAGTAAGTTTCAAAACTACACTGTTCACGCCAAAACTACATTATAGTCACATGTTTCAATTTCATAATTCTTTTGAAATATTTCCAAACATGAAATTAATTTTTTTAACTAGGAAGATGTAACCTATATCCACTTACCATCAACGTATACAATGCACGGAATACACTGAAGCCTTTTTGGAGTTGTAATCTCGATACCATCTTTCACTAATTGAAGCATTGCAAGTGATGATGGACTGCCAGATATCGCTAAAATGATTTTATCATTTGGTTTCAACATTTTTGACTTTCCAAGTGTTGCTCTAAACTTATGAGTGAATGAATCAATGAAACATTGTCTGAAAAGAAGACATAAATGAGAAAGTTTTGATTGTCAATTAATTTATTTTGTAAAAAAAACATTACTTTAACTTGAACACTTATATGCACTGCAATAGGTGCATCTCTCTAGGCTCCATGAACCTTGAAAGGACTCAGAGTCTTTAAGCGGGGAATGAAGCCCATTGCATCTAAAGAGTTTTATTTTAATTTGAACATTTATTTACTTCATTAAATTTTTATTGAATCTGATCTTTTTCAACTATACTTGTTAATATATATTTTCAAAATTAAAAGTCACAGAGGTCACAGTGTGACAAAGCAAAGTTGGGAAAGCTCACTTAGAATCATTGTGAACAGTCAAGTACTTTAGGATGTACTGTCTTATCTAAATATACAAATACAACAGATCATAAGAAATAATAATATATACATATAAATATTCTGTACTATTTTTTATAAGGGTTCACACCTTTAACCCAGGAGTGCTCGCAATAGATCTGTGAGATCCAAGCCACACAAATTTTATGATCCTGAGTTACTGCAATGCATCAGTCGTCTGATATTTCATGTACTCGTTCATTGTACTTTTCTGAGATTGCCTGGCTTTTATTTTTATCCTTTCGCTGAATCATTTACAGCGATCATGTTGAAACTTGATCCATGCACTGTGCAATAACTGTCATATACTTTGGGTGCAACAGCACCAGTGCATTGTGAGCTCCTGGCCTGAGCAGTTGGTGTCATGGCATTATTTTCAACCGGGTCTACGGCAAGTGCCCATTCACAAAATGTAATATTTTCCCTTATCTACAATGGACTGTCACTATTTCTTACCAAAGAGAAAAAAGTACCGGAGATGTTTGTACATATATGAAAAAAATTCGAACCTTGCAAAATGGAAAAAAGTCAGAAACTTTCCATATATTTTCATGAAAAAGTAAAATATATATTTGTTTAGAACATTACAAAATAATTTGTGGAAATTGAGTTTAATATTATTTAACAGACTCATAAGATGTTTAATGATTTTTGCGGGTACTTTGTCAATTTTTTACCTTTCTCACCAGCATTATTCAGACAAGAATTTTATTGTAAGATTCATTAACAGTTGCATTGGGGAGACATGTGCAAACTGCATAAAATATGTATTTCAGTAAATTGGCCTTCAGATCATTTGCATTCACAAATAATTGCAGCTATATCTGAGAGATGCATTACCGGCACTGGCGTGAGCCTACCTATTGCGGGCACACCCGCGTTAAACTGGGATCAAGATATTATCTTGGTGGCTGTGGCTGCAGGCTGGGAGAAGATGGCAGTAATGTACCTGAGTTACATACATTGGTAATTTTACATTGGCCAAACTAATGGATATTTTATGTTAATCATGGAGACCAAAAGACAACGCCTCTGACTGACTTGTATCTGTGTGAGCAAAGCTAGCCTACTTACCCATTTTTTTATAAAGTATTTTAGCACACAAACACATTTGGTATTGTGCAATTTTCAGAATTAACATTATATTCAGTTACCTACTGAATCAAAATGCAAATACAAAAAACATCAAATCCTTTCAAAGAAGCTAAAGTAAAATTTAACTGTAAAATTATTACCTGCAATAAGTGTCTTTAACTCGCAGAACAACCTCTGCTTTATTGTTCCCACACTTTTTACATAGAGCTCCAACTCTGTAACAATTGTAAGATTTAGTGGTATTTTCAATAACTTTAATCATTTTTTTTAATATTTTTAATAACAAGCATTCGTGTTATAAATAATTGAAATAATGGAACAAAGATTTTAAAATGCAATCTTACAAAAAATGTTATTTCTCTTAAAAAATAATTAAAAAAAAAAAGAAATCTTACAAGTTATGAGAGGGTTTCTCTTCCATACACTGCACTGATTCTTCATAATCATTATCAGTTGCAGTGCACATTTTATTGTTAGACTTTTTTCATCCAAATTGGAGAAAACCTGCATGAAATATTCATGGGAGAAAATTATTGATGAGTTAAATGGTTAGAACACAAAGTAATGCAATCTACAACACCACACACATAACTTAAGAAATTATTCAATGCTAAAATGACACACGATTCCAGGCAATTTTTTTTATTGATGTACGTTTTGATTACTATGTGTGAGATTCTCTTCAGTATGTTTCATTTCTGAAAATACATAGCTCCGTTACAAATATATTTGTTTGGAATTCTACTATCCTTAGATGTTAAAGCTCTCTTCAGAAATATCTTTTCATAAAATTATAAAGTCATTTTCTCTTGATGTCAGTTAACACTCAAGTCGTTATGGACTTACGACATCCAAGATAGATGGTATTCTATTAAAAATATTAATAAAAAACTTTGTTCCAATCAGTTTCTGATAGCCTTACAACTCATTCTTCATTCTACCAGTTTTACATTTGGAAGCAAATTTTACAAATTAATATGTAAATAAATGAAGGTTTGAAAATATATAACATATAAAAATATGAAACAAACATTCGGGTGTCCTTTATCACCTGAGCTTTCTTGTTTAAATTAGATTTTGTTCCTAAAGTTTATAGAAGATATGTAGATGAAACTTGTTTGATCATAAACAGAAATTAAATTGATTAGGTTCTTCAACAGTCACCACAGCAGATCAACAAATTCATACATGAATAAGAACTAGATTGAATTTTTTAGATGTCGAGGTCTTGAAATCAGTAATCAGTATGTATTGAAAACTGAAATTCTCAGGAAGGCGTATTAAATTTTTATTCCAAGGTTTCTGAAGTGATATAAAGCAAGTGTAGTTACCAACTAAAGACAGATAAAAGTTATTTTGTGCTGTCTGATGAGTAGTTACATGTTTCTAATATTTAATGTGCAACGACACATTCTAGCAAATGATGATCATCACCTGTGATCTCATTAATACAATTACACACAACTCAACATATTTTATAAAAAATTTGTAGAACAACATACGAGAAAATTGGAGGGTGAGCGCAATATAACAAACAAAAGTGACGACTACCAAACATTTGTCATTCCCATCATTAAAAGCCTTGTCTTTTCAAGACAGTATCAATTAGGAAAAAAATATGTGTTTGATGTTTTGGTATATTCAATAAACTTTATACATTCATCAAAACAACCTTAGCAATAAAATAGCACAGATGTAGTTTACAGAGAAAATGAACTCCCTAAGTGATCAAGGTTTATATGAGGCCAAACAAAGCACCAGATTTGTACACAAGAATGAAAGAACACAGAAGCACAGTCACAAAATGTGAGATGAGCATGTCATCTCTTAAGCATGTACTAATCCAGACATGAAAATGAATTGAAGATTGTAGATGTTTTGAACCATCAATCACAATCGGTTTAAGAAGATTGATATCCAAATATGCTATTCCAAACAAACAGTACATTCTGAATGATCAGAAACTATTTTAATCTAAACACCATATTGAGAATATAATTAACGATTAATAAACTTTTCGTTATAAAAATTTGCTCCTTATACATGCATAGTGGCGTTTTTTTCATTTTATTCACATATTCACTTTTTACACTATTATTCTTAACTAAAAAAATCTACTATTCATCCAATATACATTTTTTAATATTTCAAATATGTTCGGGACCTTTTAATCTTGCACGCAAAGATATTTCAATTGAATCCTAAATTCACTAACTAGTTTTTTCAGTTTGGTACCTCTGGTTTAGTCATTGATGCTTGACTACTTGTCATGTACGGTGTAAATGGATAGTTTTAAAAATGTTCTGATGCTACATCTATGAATTTCTCACTCTGAAACCAAGGAAGGGAACCTTCTACACCTTGTAGTTAAATACATATTGGTTGTCTAGCATAGTATTTTGTTGTTTTTTTACTTTGACAAAAGTTGTTCATGAGGTGTTAATCCAAAATAGTTTCAGGTACTCCTTTACCTACATGGTTATATTTAACAAGAGATATTGCATTTTGAGGACTTTAAACATAATTTTCACTAATAAAATAATTGTCAAAAAATTTTATATAACACAACTATATATTTTCACAAAAGGTAACATACTGATGGGGTTCTCACACAGAAATTTGAAATGTTTACATTCATAACAAAATAGACTGGAAGCATCGTTTGTTTTACAATTGATTGATTTTAATCCATCATTGATTTGAAATTATGTGTAAACAAAAATTTGTCAATATCAACACACCCAAAGACAATTGTTTTTCTGATCTGCCTCCGTCGATCCCTTACAAGGATATCAAGTCACAACTCGGATGCAAACAAAATTTGCATCCGAAACACCAGACGAAAACACACTTCAACTCAGCCAAATTCCCACCACAGAGCACCCACACAGTTTGTCTATGTTCCCGGCTTCCCACTATTTCATATTCACAATTCACATTTCCCTCACGCCTTTCATAACCATAACCCAACTAATTAAATCGATTACAATCAAATTAAAAAGATACATGGAGAAACAAAAAATTGCTCGGAACATCGAACTTTGGAGCTGACATGCACCGTGCGCAACGCAACAACACACATAGTCACAGAACGTTCACCAATTTCTCTACGCACAATGGTGAATGTTCTGTGAAGTTCTGTATGGTTCTGTAATTGTGAGGCAGAGAGGGCAAGGGAGTATACGTATGAACGAGTTAGAGATACATCTCTAACTCGTTGCTATATATGATATCCATGTACTATATACAAGACCAACTATATACAATTTCTCGATATGTAGTTGGTCTTGGTTTGTGCACGCCATAGCGTATAGTACTGACGATCTTCTGCGCATGCGGAGATGCACTAGTGGTGCCCAACTTAAACTGCGCATGCCTAAAATATCAGTAGTGCTGTCGATTGCTGTAAAGCTGCGCATGTGCAAAAGATCGAGATTGATCATGTGCTGTCGATTGCTGCACGCTAAGCCGCAGCCGTGCAAAAACTCCCTCATTCGAAAAGATATAGCAATGAAGGGTACTTTACGATTATCTGGAGGCTGTGCAAATGTGCAACCTAAGCACGAGCCACCACAGACCGGCTACATTCCAGGAGTGTAGTCGTTAAATAAAAAGTTAATTGTTGGTGATCACACCATTCAAGTTCATGAGTTGAAGAAAAATGTTCTTTATATGGTAGAATGCACCATGCTTCAATGTAGTTTCTTCCATCAAGAGAGTTCCACTCACTTTCAATTCACTTTGCAACGTGTAAGGAGGAAGATAAAAGAAAAACGAAATAAAATAAATAAACCGAGGAGGAAAAATATCTTGATGAAAGGTACCCAGAAGTGAATGGCACCAGTACATTTTGGAGGAAACTTATTCGTAGACCATTCTGCTTCAAATTCGAAGTGTGTGGCAGGTGTGAGGGCTGTGGATGGATTTAGTGATCAGCAAATATTCACTGGATATAAAAAAACACTGTTTTTTACGATCGTAGCTGGGGCAAAGTCTCTGATAGGCAGTCGCAGAAGTCTTCGTCGTACTCGTTGGGCAGGTGTATAAGAGCCAAAGCGTCAGCTGAGTAAAAACGTGCGCTGGCGTGCGCAGAGCGTGCGTGCGGGCCGTGCGGGCCTTGGTGTACGAAAGTGTTTTGTTTGTTGAACAGGTGTGTAAGCATTGAATTCGTGTTGCACTGTTAACTCGAAAAGTGAAACATAATTATTAAAGCAGCTTCAGTTATTATTGTTACATTTACATCAGTGTTAATATTTTAACATTTTTTGTGCTCTGAATGATTGTAAACGGACGATCGTTACTGATTTGTAGAGAACTGTTTCGCATATTGCATGCTTCGGGGAAATATCGTTTTTTCTCTCAGTCACCAAACATGGCAAAAAGTAAATATGAATACGTGAAAAATTTTGAACTTGATGATACATGCCTTCCTAATTGTTGGATTGTTATAAGAATTGATGGAAGGTCTTTCCAAAGATTTGCTGACATTCATGGTTATGTTAAACCAAATGATATAAGAGGACTGAATTTGATGTCTCGTGCTGCAACTTGTGTGATGGATGAATTTCGAGATATTTGTCTAGGTTATGGTCAGAGTGATGAATTCACATTTGTGTTCAGAAAAGACACCAATCTGTTCAACAGACGCGCATCCAAGCTAATGAGCACTGTCAATAGCTTATTTGCATCTTCATTTGTGTTTAATTGGAATTCATATTTCGGTCCAATTCGTTTACAATACCCACCTTGCTTTGATGCTAGGGTAGTTCTGTATCCAACTGATAAGAACTTGCGTGATTATTTAAGTTGGAGGCAAGCGGATGTTCATATAAACAATTTGTACAATACTGCGTTTTGGTCTTTGGTGTTGAAGAAAGGCTTCACAAATGCTCAGGTATAGTGTGCACTTGAATTTGTGTGTTTTGTTACTTGGTTCTTCTATTATTAATTAGTTTTGTATTATATTGTAGGCAGAAGAAAGGTTGAAAGGTACTGTTGCTTCGGACAAAAATGAACTATTATTCTCAGAATTCGGTTTGAATTACAACAATGAACCAGCTGTATATCGTAAAGGGACCATTCTCATCCGAAAACTGTGCAAACAGCCACCAGAAGGAAAATTGCGGCCAATTATATTACCTTTCTTTACCGATATGATTGGAGACTCGTTTTGGAAGGAGCATCCTGAAATACTTGGTTTGAAGTCTCTAGCAATTTATCATCCACCTTCAGAAGATCTACCTAATGAGACTAACAAAAAGTCATCAAGCCCACCAGGTTTGAAAAATGGTCCCCCTGTTACTAAATCTGTGTCAAGTGAATCTGTAGAAAAAAGTGATAAGGACAGTTAAGTTTTCCAAATTAGAGTTTATCCTATTTTTTCAATGTTCTGTTAATTTTAGTTGTGCATTTCTGAAGCGTACCAGATTTACATTCCTACAGTGTGTGTGTGTGTAGTTACAAAAACTGAAAATGAATTTCAGCAAGTGTGTCAGTTTTACTATTGAAAGGTGCTGAGTACTGATTGAATAGTACTGTTCCTCTTGAAATTGACTTTCTATCTTTATTCAAGCTTTTCTAGGGAGCTATTTTGTAGGGAGTACATAGTTCGTATTATCTTCAAAGGTTGTGTTTGGTCATTCAGAGGATGAAGTGATATGCTCTTGTGTTTGTAGCTGTTAGTATTGGAGCATTATTATATTGATTGATAGTGCACTGTGTGTAGTGTGAACCATTCTGTTATTGTTTAATTTGTTGCTTACAGTTCCTTAAAATTCATATTTATATAATTAAACCTATTAGAAGTAACACATTACATAGGTCACAAACTTATACAATGGCCATGGGCCATTACTGACAATTTTGTTATGTTCCAATATATCGGAACAGTACTTGTTGTAAACTGTCCAAAAAAAAATTGATCAACTGAATAGGACCAGTAGCTTGGTTTGGGTTTTGTCAGTGAATATGTACATCACTCCATATCAATTTCATTTTTTTCTTAAAAATAATACTCAATATATAATGGTATACTCTCAAGCCCTGTTGTTCTGGGCACCACCTTCCTCTTCCGAGGAAGTTGAATTAATTTAGGAAACTTTACTGGCAATGGGAGGCTAGTGGTTGCCTGCACTTGATTGGAAATGAAATGTAAATTAACTGGCATAAACTACATCATGCTTTACATTTCTGTGTAAGATATTCGTCTGCTTGACCATGTATTTTGGACCTTTAAGGAAGGGTAATATTTCTGCAGCTTGAGTCTTTGACTGTTCAATTGGTACCTAGGCAGGTCTGCTAAAACAACTACAGTTGTAACATTTGGTTACATTTTGCCAATATTTGTACATAGGGTTTCAAATCCAAATCCTAAATATATGACGAATTATTTAAATAATAATTAATTTTTGTTGCATTTGTAACATTTCAGAATTGTAGCAATGTAAACTTCAACCTGAAAAACATACATTTTAGCAATTTTCTTATGAAAAAAAATTAATTTTAAGAACAAAATGAATTATAGTATGGTCATAAATGACTTTTGAAATGAACAAATTGACCAGCAGTCAATGATCACCAGCAGTCAGTCAGCAGTATAATGATGCACTGTAAGCAACTTTCTTTGTCAGCTGGCATGAATAAAAATGTGCTACATTTCCCTGTCTGCTAGCTTTATTAAAATTTTTATTTATACGTGACAGATTTTGATTTTTTCAAAAGATTACACATTTTATCAACTCGACTGATTATGAAAAAATAGTGGTGACAATACTTTAACAGATCCAAATTCTGTTTTAAGTTCATTACAATTGCGTAATAATCTCATGTGTTTTAAATCAATATGGTTACATTTTCATGATTTAACATTATTTTTTTAAACAGTCTGTTACATTTGCCAGATGAGGATTTGGCAACCTATGGTCATGCTAATGATTGATCTATCTTACAGCAACCTTGTTGAAGGGAAACGTGACATGAAAGTGGACATTTTTCTGTACATTTAATTTTTATTTTGGATCATATGCAGGCAGCATTTGTTTAACCCAGGAGGTTGTGTCTTGCTTATGAACGCAATGGGCAGCAGGAGAGAAAAAGAGCCCCAAAGAAGGTTTTGATGATTGGCGTTTTTTTTAACATCATGAAATAATATAATTTGGTCTATAAATGAAAGTTGCATATTTCATTACATTCATTGTGAATTTCTTTTTTTTTAATTAATTGATAAAATTTAGAAAATTCGACATATAGTGTATTTGTCCAAAAGAAGAACTCTACACAAGGAAAGAGACCTTGTAGAAGGCAGTCAATCTTTGAGGACAAGAAGTCTGAAATAACGTCCCCCTCCTCGGGACAGAGGTTCAGACTGCACTGGTAACCTACCCGCGTAAAAAGTTATTTAGTAGCGGTGTCCAGAATAATGGTCTTGGAATAATAACTATGGGGATGAACCATGCTGGAGATACTGGAACATCTAAGAATACTTGATAGTAGACTATCAGCACTTGCAGAAGATGCTGAATAAGAGGAAAGTCTAGAAAAAAGTGGACACAGGAACAGGTTAAAGAATCTAACCCTTGGAAGTGCTGAAGAAAAAGTATTTGGCTATATGAAGTTTGTTAACTATTGAATTAAAAAAAAAAAAGAGAGAGAGAGAGAGAGAAAGGGAAATGTTTTAGACTTTCGATAAACAGTCAGCATGTATTTCAAACAATAGTAATTGTTTGCATAGTTTCCGCTAATAAACAATAGTTGTGATTTGCATTTGATTTTTGTAGACATTCTATACTCGGAATGTGTTGCAGTCCAAACTTCCAAGGTTTATTTCACTTCTTATGTGATTTCTCTCTTGCACATTAGCTCGTGCTGCTTTTGATTGTAAATAATGAGTTAAAATAAGAATCAAGAGAGAGAGCTAATTTTCTAGTGATGCAACAGAAGAATATCATTAAGCATTTCCTTCATTATCACTTGGTCCAGTGGGTTTATCCCCCTGAAAGTTATCATGAATTGTTACTGGAAATGGTCATTGCAAGAAATGTGTCCGCAGGATGTTATCATTGCAGGGTGCAATTCTAAGAATTGACAGGGCAATAAAATTTGCAGATAAAGGCTAGAAGGGTACTGAAAATCACAATGTGAACTATTCTGAAACCGTTCATATAAAAATATTGCATGGGATCCAAATTCTCCCCATAAATCTCCTGGGTTAAGTACATTTTTCCTACGTCTCCCATTATGCAGTCAGAGTAGTAGTTACAAAATTATTTTCAACAATTACAATATTTAGTGAGTTATCTCTGCTGGAAGTTATTTTAAAACTAGTGTTGAAATTTTGTAAAATTGTAAATTATCTTGTGCAAAACTATACAAGACACTTGGAAAATGAAATCTACTTTTTATATGAATGGAAATTTGCTTTATTTTGGGGGTGATCTAAGTTAACAATAATGCATTTTATAAAATACTTGATAATAGGTAATTTTTGTATTTGTTTTGCATTCATAGCTCCAAAAAATCCAAAACATGATGAAGCAGAAAAGCTGCAAACTGGACACAAGAGACAAAAAAAAAAGTTTAATTAAGGATTGAAAACTCATGTAAGTTTGAGGATGTTTTCTCCAATTTAAGGTTTCTGAAGTTTATCCAGAATTTTAAGAAAAAGACCAAAAATGACCCTATGCTTTAACAAACAGCCTTAAGATTTACCCTATCCTGGATTGCAGAGGCAAAATCCTAAAAATTAAGTTTCTATAATTTTTGAATGGTGATGAGATTTCACTCAGCAAATGGCAAACGCAATTTAAAAGTAATAAAGTCAGCCAGGATTATCGGGCATCTGTCTCTTCACATTTGATCTTTGATGGTGAAACAAGATTATAAAAAGTGAAGGGATAAATGCAATGTGCTATAAAGTAAGTGCTTTGTCAAACTGTGATATGTATATTTTCATTATAATGAAAGTATTACTAGTATTGTAATAACCATTCTTGAGACCTGAAATTGAAGACACAAACAGGACTACTTTACCAATGTTTTTATCTTTAAGGTCTTCAAATTATTCTCAAACATTATTTGATGTTCACCTGTGCATAAACATTGTAGTAACCAATTATTTATCATGTTTCTTCGTCTTCCATGAAATTCAATTCTGGACTACTGGAGTTGGTTTACCATAAACATTTGGCAGCTCAAAAGAGGAATGAAATTAGACTGCCGAAAGTAGAGATAATGTAAATCATTCTGTGTTGCATTTTAACAAATACAGATAGAACAAGTGCCCATGTTTATTTACTTGGTTAATAATTATTTTGCACTCATTGGCAATATAGATACTCTTCAAATGAAAGCACAAAAATTAAATCAATGAAGTTTATTTAAAGGTTTATATATACATGTTGAAATTATTAGCCCAGAAAATGGGATTTTACATACATTTGTGCCTTTTCAGTTGTGATCATATTGTGATGTGAACTGATAGACAATTTAGAATAAAGTTTTTACAAAAAAGGAAATCTTATAATAATGTGAACCTTCTAATACCATCTCTAATAATATCGCTTCTCTGCAACTTCACTGTTCTTCAGAATGTTACACCACTGAATAGCAAAAAACCATGTCAGATCAAGTTATTTGCAAATCCACTAATGGTGCTTAATACATAATAGCATTTGTGATTATTTGATATAACAGCAATACCAGATGTACTATATCTGGATCTGAGGTGAACAAACACTCCTGTTCAATTTTAAACATTAACACACACTTACTAGCCATATGATAATGATAAAAAATAAAAAGAAAAGAATCAGTTAAGGGAAGATGAGAACAATTTTTACAAATAAGTAGGTTCTGTAGAAAATACATTTCTTCACTGCAGTGTAAGTCGTCCTTCACAAATTAGTAACATTTGTCTTATTAACCAACACCTACATGGAGAATGCTACACGTATGATCTATAAAGACGATAATATTATTAACAATTTACAATGTACACAATTTACATTTCTATGCAACATACACCATATAATGGAAGAAAAACATTTCTCACATTTATTATTACCAAACACAGAACAGAAATGTACATCACACAATAATACAAGAAATTTACACTACAATGTCCCTACCCAATGATTAATACTGGTAATCTCATATCTATAATAATCTAAAAAATAGGAATGTAGTTGTCAATTTTTGCTCTATGCTTCTGGGCAACACATTCTGCAATCCAGACGATATTTCGACATTCTTGTTCTTTTAGTTTCAAGTATGCATAGAACACTCCGTAATGAAATTGTTGTAGGAATGCATTCACATTTAAGCGCACCTGAAAATTTCATTTACATATCAGATGAATTCATTAACAAATCATTTGCTTTAAGAAAGCCCTTAGCACATCAGTTTTAGTCACATACCTCGTACTCAAAGAATTTGTCCTCGAGTGTTTTTTCCCCAGGGTTAGTCCCTGCACCTTCAAATAAAGCTGCGTATTCCTATAAAAAAGAAGGCATTGCATAGTTATATTTTCAAAAACACTTATACTTGCACTACAAATTGTGGATACACAAATCAACTCATCACATTACCTCCCCACAACAATACTGCTGAATTCATGAAATTTTAGACATCTAAAACCCAATTACAACCATTACCAGCATCTATTCTTTCTTATGTGAGAGAGTGGGTGGAAGGGGATGAGAAGTTGACACAATCAAGATACTTCAAATAAGCAAAGAAAAACAACAACTGCAAAACACTGAGTCAATGATCAGATAGTTTAATGAACATTCTAAACAAAGACTATGTGGAATGCCCTTGAAAAGAAATAATACAAACAAGCTAATTGAAAATAATCATTGTAACTAATGGATTCCTTTGTTGATTCCAAAACTGTTTTTCATTCCAATTACTTAATTAAAAGAGCAGTTTCATCCATAAAATGGTAAAAAATGTTATCACACTAAAAATGAATATAAGTCTAGCAAGAAGAAAACAAATCTTGTAAGGCAGTCAACCTTTGAATATAATACTTTTTCTACTTGTGAGAATTTTACAGCTTTTGTGGCACCATTCCATTTCCCTCTATCGTTCCAGTTGGTCCCTTGAAGATCTTCTCCACCAATCTTTCTGGCCACACTCATAATTCTGGGTTTTGATGCAATCAAGCCTTTTTAGCAAGTGTTATTTCATCTGTAACTGCTTTTTGAACCTGCATTCATTTCATAATTTCTTCCAAAAAATCCATTTGTTGACTCATTCTCTATCTTTATCTCTTTCTATAATCCTCAAAACTCAAGTTGCTGATACTGGTGTACTTGTATGATATTAAAAAAAAAATGTTTTTCTTATATTACTTTTCTCAGAGCAGAGGGTTTAACCGAATGGCTTGTGTCCTTATGTAATCTTTGAAACACTATCCTCTCTGAAATCCCCTTCACTCATAATTCCTCCCAAATATTTGTCCACATAACTGGACGAATCACCAGGTCATCAGTGAATAATAATGTACCATCATGGAAGCAATCTTCACTGATGTATATTCCCAAAACTCAACATTTCTTTTGCAGTTAAATCTTAAAGTAGATGATAAACACCATCCTTGACAGTTCCTTTGTTTGTCCAAATAATGGTGAAACTTGCCCACTTTTATTGATTTTTAATTCACAAACCATTCTTTTCTTGCATTACATACACTAAAACCCTATGTATTATAAAACTTCATATGAAGAATATTTCCTGTCTGAAGTATTTTTTTTTATTTATTTTATTTTTTAATTTCTTGTATACATATGTATTATACCTAGTGCAGAGAAAGTTATGTAAAGCTGCGACAGAAAAGCTAGTACTGATACAGAAAATATGGATAAAGCCTGTTCCAATATGTAGTAAATTACTGCATTTGTGTGTAATGAACTCGCAAAAGCCTCAAGCAGGAAGTTCAGATCAATCAGGGAATATCATTTTTGGAGAAAATAGGCAGACAGTTTAGGCGCTCGCATTAAACAGAGATGGACCACACGTATAAACAGAAGTTTTGCCGTCAATCAATTTTGCAGTTTCAAGGATACACAAAACGGGGATGCAGGCTGTACCACGTGTTAAGAGGAAGGAATTTACAATATATGATTTATGATTTATCCACTTTTTCATTACCAGGGCCCGTCAATAAGAGATTTTCTGATGAAATTCGCCAATTTTGTTACACGCTTTTACTTTCTTATCTTACGAAGGACGAACAAGTAAAAAGAGAGCTATCATTGCGATAAATACTGAAAGTACTTGCCTAGCCTATCGTTTTTTCTACTTTCCTGTATTTTTCCCTTTTTCTCATTGGTCACCAGAAAAGTGTAAAAAGGGATTTTACTGTATTCAGGGCTGATAGAGTATTTTAGTCTTCCAGGTGTTCCTGCATTATTTCATGTTAATTTCTTTTCTAGCACCTACTTTATTGTAAGCATGTTATCGATTCTTCTACCAGCTGTAAAGTCACTTTGTCCCTCTTCCACAAGAAACTCTCTTTCAATTCTGTGTTAAAGTTCACACATATAGTCCTCTTGTAGATAAAGTTACTGTTAACCCTCTATAATTTTTACACTGATTTTTGTCTTTTTATGTTAGGTAAGCTCGCTTCCATTCCCTAGGCAACTTTTCCCCCTCTTTCCTTTTTAAAAATTCTACAAACTATTTTTAATTAGTTCTACAGCAATGCCTCGAAAGCCGGAAAACTTACCATTTTCTGTTTTATTTTTATTTTTTATTATGAAGTCCATCTCATTTAAACTTATTTGTTCTATGTCATGGGCAGGCATAGTATCCAGTTTTCTGTTAATTTATTCCTGTGCTTTCCTGAATTTGCAACTATTCTCTTCAAACATACACTAGTAATATTTAACTGATTCTTCCATTGTCATAATTTGTAAATTAGTCATCATAAACTGTAGGATGTAAGACCAGGGGGGCCTGTTCCTGGTTAAACAGTAGACCTGAAATATTTTAGTCTTCCAGGTGTTCCTCCATTATCGACTTCTTTCTTGGTCTTCCCATATCTTTGCCCACATGGTTTTCTTTCTTTCATTCTTTTAATATGTTCCAGCCAATTTTTTGGTTCTTTTTTAACTTCCTCCGTTATGCTTGTTGTTTTCAATATTTTGCTAATGACTGTTTCTCTGCCATTCTAGTCTAAAATTTGTAGGTAGGGAATCTATAAAAACTGTGAATTGTGCAGGCTATCTTGACCAAATTCCAGCGTCCAGCTTTAATTTAATGTGCTAGGAGCATTACAATGTCTTCAATCTGAGAACAAAGTTGTGTTATTAAATTGTGAACATCAAATGCTTGAGTCAACTCGCTGATATATGATAGGCTGTAGGATTTTATATTTCATTCATAATGTTGAGAACGAATTCTCTATTGTCTTGATCAATAAAAGGCACCATTTTCTAAGGCACCTTTTTTACTTTCAGACTAGCAAACTCTTGCAGGAAGAGCGTGTATTTTCATCAAGTCAATGTCTTCCAGTTTTGTCACTGGTTTATGCATTTTGTAAGTTTTGAATAAACAATGCCATTGAAACTTTTTGATTTTAACTGGTACTTTTTTCTGAAGTATCCAAGAAATCAATAAGAAGTCAGGAAGAGGGGTAGGGGAAATTTTTAGGAAATATTAAGCAGACTATTACTATTCTCAGTCTGAAGGTACAAGAACAACATTTCTTTAAGGTAAGAATAAATTAGATTTGTAAGAAAAAACAACCAACATTCTTCTCAGTGTAAGAGAAAATAATTATTTGAATAAGAGTTAGTTGTGCCCAACAAAACACTAACTTTCAGTAGAAACTGCATTGAAATTGGTTTAGCCATACCAGAGATTAACCCGGACAGACTAAAATTGTAAAAGCAACTGAATTGCTTTTTAGCTCTTTTAAATAAACATTTGGGGTTATAACATAAGGTTACAGAATGGCACAAACTAGTTAGTTTTATAATTTCTTCTGTCTCAGCTAGCTTTTCAGGTTTTACCCCACCCTCTTCCCAGCTCCTATCTATCATTGCCTAAAGTACTTTTTTGCACATTTTCTCAATTTTCTTGGTCCCCGAATGGTGCAATGGAAATATGACTAAGAATATTGTAGAAGAGAGAAGAAAAAAATTAACAAAGATGAAAAATTTGAAGCTGTTTTTGAGAAAATGCCATTTATCATTTCGGTAAATGCAAAATTTGACTATTTTTCACAGAAAACTTTTGAATGTTTAAGAAACTTTACTTGTAATAATTTTAAGCACTTCCACTCACAAATGCAATTATGTGTACAAATAGCTAGTAATATAAATATTAACAGCATGAGAAAAATTAAAAAATGGGGCCCTTGTTTGAGAAAAAGGCTTTTGAGCAATTCTAAAATGAATTTCACTTTTATTTTCACAGAATGTTTTACAGTTTTTCAGAAACTTTATAAAAAAAAAACATTTAAAAAATAATCAACCAATTATAATACAAATTGTTGGAAATGTAAATATTAACAATGTGAGAGAATTTTTTTTAAAAACCAAAACAATACAGCAGAATAGGGTTTATGCCATTTTAATACAGTACATTTAGCACTATCCCTACCAAAAGATTAAACAAAACAAAACAAAAAAAATAATTGAAAGCCATTTTTGAGAAATTCTTGTTATTGATAATTTTTAATATTGCCCATATTTCACACCTGATGTCATTTGATGCTCAAAACTTGATTGGAAATAAAATTCAATTTCTAAACTAGAACAGTAATAGGGAATTGCATTATATAGTACTAGAGGCAAAGAGAACTACCACAGGATATTATTTTATAATAATATTATCTTATTTTATAATAAACTGCCTAAAAATATTAAAGATCTATGTGAAGAAATGAAATACCATGTCTTTTTGAAAATGTTTTTAATAGGAATGTACCTCTATCAATAAAAAGAACTAATGGAATAGAATGTAGAATAGCATGGCATTATTTTTTGCGGCAATAACTTTCTCTACATTACATTTATACGAGGGGGAAGATAATAAAATAATAGCTATTTGTTTCTTAATTCAATGTTAGTGGATATCATTTACATGTATTTTTAAGAAACAAGAAGGTTCATAAAACAAATTATTATCATCAATTATTAATTACCCTTTGTTACTGATGATTAATTATTAGCCACAATAGGTTAATTAAAAAGGTTTTGATTACAAAACAATATGTTGGTTGATTTCAATTTAGTCTAATAACCAGGATTATTACTCTCCTTCAAAGCTGTAATACTAAATACACTTGACTCTGGTTAGAGTAAACTTCTGGGAACTAACATTTTTGGTTCATTATATCCGATGTCAAAATTAAATAGAATTTCTCCACAATTATTGATTTCATTAATAGAGAGGTACAGCAAAAAACATTAACAGCACAAACTGAAAATTTCAATATCTTTATTTGTCTGTAAAAAAATTGATCATTTTCAATTGTTTGCTTCACACATTATTTATCAGTAATTTTTCTACATTCTTCTACAGAGTTTGTGTTCTCTCCATCCTTGATTCTGCATTGTCCTACATAGAACACAACGTGCTTTGTCCCACAGAATGTAACATGAAGGAAAGACATCATTAAATGTCACACCAAGCTTCAAACTGACGCAAGCAAGAAATCGCACATTGCAACCAGTTGTAGTCCAAGCAGGGCACAGCCTTTGCTTCCACAGTGAACATGAGAATAAGGTTATCAGTAAGGCCCTCATTTCACTTCTTTGATTATAACTGTTGGCCGACGGTACATTTTTGAAGCTGTCTGGTATTTGTTTATGGCACTGAGGCAATATATTCTTTTCCAGGAGGGAATTGGTTTCCAGAACATATTTTATTATATACATAGCGAAAATTCATGTTTGCTATAACCAAATCTTATGTTTATTTTTAATGTAAGTGAAACGGGACCACAGACTTAGGGTCGACTGTATAACAAAACTCCTGTTACACATACTGCATCATTCAAGATAGATTACGTAATCCTCATGGCAGGATTACAGGAAGTACAAAAAGGGCAATTTGCATGAAAACATTCCACTGACTAAGAACTTTTGAATCTTATTTAATTCTTGCTCACAAGTGTCAGGAAATCTTTACTTTCCATGGATCACACTGTATGCAGCTGCTAGGATAGCCAAGAACTTTTGACGACATTCAGACTGGCGTAAAATTCAGTTGCTGTTATTTTATGACACATCGCCACTGATGAAACAATGTACTCTATTTTTATGGAACATTAACTTTTGTATTGACATAATGTTTACTTTTGAGTAAGTAAAATAATTTTTTTCCCTCATTAAAATATGTTTTTCACATTGAAACTTGAAGATACAAAGAAATTTAAGTATTTATTTCAATTACATGGGATGATAATTAATTATTGCTGGTCTCCTCTGGAATTTCTGTCTGAGAGATAGGAGGTATTGTTTCTTTATAGTTTATGTAATAACGAGTGCCCCATTCCATCTACTCTGGCCACGATACTATTAAGATTTAAAGAGAGATCAAGTACTCCTGAAAATGCTGTTGAATCATCTCATTCCGACTGAAAATTGTTTTTGTATTTTCTACATGACTCCAAAACACAAGGGGATTCTTAATAAAAGAATTAAAATAGGAAACATCCATTCATAAACAATAATAAAGATCACTTACTGTGTAATACTCTGCAACAGCTCTCACTTGTTCGTAATCATCAGCACGTGCCAATGCAGCCAAACCATCTGGATTTAATTTGCCTCGACGAGGGTACAGTTTTGCACGATCATCTTTAGTTAATTCAGTTCCAAACGAGTTGATTGTAATAATTAGAGCCCGCCGATCAGCTTCAAACTATTGGAGAAATGTTCAGAACCATAAAATTTGCATAACCCTATCTCATATTCATAATTTCCTAACAAACTTACAGCTAAAATCTCGCACATCACTTCAGCTGTCACTCCTCCAAGTTCCTTGCAGAAATCATAAAAAGCTTCCAGATAAGCTTTATACAAAGTGTTCCGAATGATTTCAATATTCATTTCATCAAGATCTTGTTCACTTATGCAGTCCACAAAAAAGGGAGCTGAAAGGAAAAGAAACCACTAGAGAACAAAACTCTCAATTAACATTTGTTAAAGCTATTTGACTTACTAAACAAACTAAAAATAAACTATACAAATGATAATTTAAGGTTAACAGTTCAACACACTTTTATAAATACTGTCAAAACTTCAACTCTGATCAATACAGTTATACTAAGTCAGTGGGGGTCCTTTAAGGGAAACCATGGCACTACCAGGAAAGTCAAGCAGCATATTTCTAGACTGCAAGTTCTTCAGAATGCAATTTTGAGAATCACGCCACTGATCATGGTAGGTGGGATGTGTTACTTTACACTTCTGGTGGCTATAGATACCAGATTTGACTGGTTAAATGACTCTATAATGGTTTCTGCACATTGGCACAACTCGTGAAAATCTTACTTTTACGGTGATTTATGCAACTCTGCCCCTGGCAGGTATCAGCTGTTGACGGATTCAACCACTCAGGGACTTTAACATCACTATCGTGATGTCACGATGATGACATTCAAGCTCCTGACTGGATAAAATTGTCAACAGCTGATACCTGCCAGGGGTAGAGTTGCGAAAATCACAGTATGATACAGGATATTGGTGTCAGCAACCAGCCTGGTGTATGTTCCAATATGTTCCAGCTATTAATTTGAAAAGGAAACTAGGTTCCTTCTGGTATTGAATACATACAACAATATTAAATATTTTTGTATTAGTCCTTTGTTAACAACAAATTAATCAGGTTTTAATGCAACTACATCTTTGGTACATTCGTAAAATTATTATTTATGATATTAATGCATACCACTCATTAGATACTAAAATATTTAAATTTATGATAGATATTTAATGATATAAGAAAAGAAAGCCATTATGTGTCCAACAGTAGAAAAGTACCGTAAAGAAAAATAAAAAGCTTGCCATGAACAGGTACAGTAATATGTAAAAATTAATTTCTATACATCACAAAAACTATTAGCTTAGTCTAACACTACTGCCACAAGAATCAATAATAGCAATTATCACCTAATGGAGTATCAACTAGTACAGCATTATACAGCTCAGCAGGCGTCGCAGCAACATGAATTGCTTCCATCTGCTCAAAACTTCCCAAAGGATGACATTTTGGAATCAATTCCGAAATAGGACGTTGGTGAAGCGTCCCAGTAATAAGAAGAATTATATTATCAATCATGTAGCTGTACCTGTAATGAAAATAATGTAGGTATGTTGCAAAAACCACGATAATACTACACAAATTACAAAATATACTTACGTTATGAAATCAAGGAATGTTGAACAGGGCTCTACTGCATGATTTCTCAAATGCTGAAACTCGATAACAAGCTTCTCCCTGAGTTTGTCATCAATAACTGACACCTGTAAGGGACTGGGCTCGTTTGCCAGAAAATTGCCATAATCTGTACTTTGAAGATGAAGTTTCAAATCTGAAACATGCCAAAAACAAGAATAACCAAATAAACTTACATATAATCCACAAACAACATAATTAAAGGAGAGTCAATTCGCAATACCATCAAGTGTTTCACACTGAACCAAATTCAAGTAGTCGTTTTGTTTTAATATCCCTATTTTAAATCCTCTGCACAGGCCCTCGATGTATCCTGTATCGATGTTGAACAGGCAACCTCTCATTTTAGAAAATTAAAGGAAATATTTTACTATCTAACAATCTTTCCTATGCCACAGCTCGATGTACCGTGCTGTCCCAACCCACTTCTTGATGTTCGGTCATATGACTCGATCGGCCTTCGTCAGTTGTTCTCAGTACATGACGTCACAGCACAGATCAAAACAGTTCTGTCGTTGATTATCAAAGAGATGCTGAAATAACAGTAGTAATTGTTTCAACAACATTAATTTTTTTGTCTTGAATAGTTTACCGATTTGGAAATGTGTTCGATAAGGCAGCTTTCTCGACTGGACCGAAGAGTATATGGACCTAGATGTGACCTCTCTAAACGGGAATTGGGTCACCAGAAAGAAATTGACAGTAATCAAGATCATACTGATTTTCAAATTATTTTGTGTAGAACAAATTGTTTTTCTTATATCATTAATTTCTATGAAAAATCTACGGTTCAATTTCCTGATTGACTTACATTTCTTTCAACCAATAGGTAAACCTTTTTCATTTTAAGCGCCTCCCTTCTGTCCCCACCAAGGAGATTATGGCCCCCTCTCCGTCACCATCAGTCGCTGCGTTGATAGTGCTGTATATATTGGGTGGAAATGCGGGATCATGTCTCTGTGTATTTTGAAGTTTTGGCCGGTTAACTTGTATTCTCAACGGGAAGATGGCCGCTAAGCCCCCTTATAAAGTTGGTGAGTGTTTGATGGATCAGTTCTCATTGACCATCGTTATGTAAATGTTGCAAAGTTTTGTCTTGCGATGTCGAATTTCAAAATTTGCTTTTCAACACGCTGGAGGTTTTTGCTAAGGCGGCAATTTGAATGACCCGTGAAGGCGTGGTTGTGATGCTGTGGGTTATTTTTAATTTTTCCCTCGAAACTTTTTAATAAAATGAACAAAAGTCATATATAAGATTTTTTTGTTGTTGTTGCAGCTGACATTAAACTTGCAGAATGGGGCCGCAAGGAGATAATGCTCGCCGAAAATGAAATGCCAGGTTTGATGTCCCTTCGCAAGAAGTACGGACCGCTCAAACCCTTGAAAGGAGCGCGCATTGCTGGATGTTTGCATATGACTGTTCAGACAGCAGTGTTGATGGAAACATTATTGGAACTTGGAGCTACTGTAAGGAACAAAATTAATTTGGATGCTTGATTACTATTGTTCTCAGACTTTCTTGAATTCTTAATTACTATTCTTCAGAATAGTACTTAAATTCTTCATAGAATTTAATTGCTATTGCCTACAAAATGGGCAGATTATTAACAATTAATAATTTTAATTCTCAAGGTGGTAGTATTTGTTACGAAGAAGCAACTTTATTTTTTTTTTTTACTGTCCTTCAATTTATACTTCGGATTGAGTAATTTTACTATGTGATAAAGGGGGCAAAAATGTTATCAGCTTCCTTCCATCCATCTTATGCCTTGTTTGGCATTGGTTGTTTGTTTGAATCTTTTGCTACGAAAAAAATGGAGGTGTTGCAGCTTCTTAAAAACCTTGACTACATTTAGTTTTGTGAATAGAATAGGGTGGCCACTTCCTGGCAAACATAACAAGGGTGTATCTCAATTTGTTAAAAAAAAGAAATTAAATCTGGGAAATTTTTTGTGTTTTAAACAACTTTGTATTATTCCTTACAAACTTAAGAACTCTATTTTGATTCATTGTTATTTGTTAAGTAATACTTTTAATTTATACTTTGGCACAGTTTTATTAGTTTTTTAATTACTATACTATAGTAATTAGACTATAATATACTAATTACTACCCTATAGAACAAATTTTCTCTTCTGCTAGTCATGATGATTATTAAAATTTTTGAGGTTTGCTCTTATTTTTCTAGAAGTGCTAAAATATAAGTGTGGAGAAGGATAAAAAAGTCTACAAAAAAAAAGGAATGCATATTATTAAATTAATATTTTATATTAATAAATCATTGCCATTTTGAGAAAAAAAATACTTACTTTTTTTACTCAATTAGTAAGTAGAAACAGTAGGTGACAATACTTGACATTAATGTTCTCAAACTTTTTTATTGAATCGATACAAAGGTTGGAGAGGACAAAGGAATATTTGTTAGGGAACCCTGCAGTTACGGTTCCTTGTCAAAATTGTATATAAGAAGATTATATACATTTTGTTTTTTCTGTCTTTTCTTTTATGTTCTGTGAAATGACTAAACAACTAATTTATCCATATCCGTGACAATGAAAAGTTCTAATTTTATGGAATTACCATTTTATTTTTAATGTATTCAAAATTGCTATAACTTGTCTGTTTCAAAATTTCAAAAGTAGATCATGTGTAATTATCCAGTATGTAAGGATACTTAAATAGATGTCATGGTGAAAGTTCTAAAAAGGACTGAAAATGTATTTGTAAATCTGGTAATTGCATTTGATTTGTATACATGCTATCAGTGCTTCTGAGTAGTTGTAAAAATGGAACATCACAACCTGATAGGTTATTAACCATTTTATTATTTTAATTATGACATCTTACCCTTATTTTTATTTTCTTTAGGTGCAGTGGTCGAGTTGCAATATTTTCAGCACTCAAGACCATGCTGCTGCTGCAATGGCAAAGCGTGGTATTGCGGTTTATGCCTGGAAGGGCGAAACTGATGAAGAATACATTTGGTGTATTGAGCAAACTCTGGTTTTTCCCAACAATGAGGTACTGCACGATAGAACTTAGTGTTTATACTAATTCACAATGGAAAGGTTTTTTTTTACATTTTTCCTTTCACTCTGTTTAGCCTCTGAACATGATTTTGGATGATGGTGGTGACCTTACGAACTTGGTACATGAGAAGTATCCTCAATATCTCTCTAGTATAAAAGGTTTATCAGAGGAAACTACCACTGGTGTACATAATTTGTATAAAATGATGGCTGAAAATAAACTTAAAGTTCCAGCAATTAATGTGAATGATTCAGTAACAAAGGTATGTACATAATCTCTGTGACCTTATTTATACTTAATATAAAATTTATCCTCGAATTCTTCTTGCAGAGCAAGTTTGATAACTTGTATGGGTGTAGAGAAAGTCTCATTGATGGTATCAAGCGAGCTACTGATATTATGTTGGCTGGAAAAGTGTGTGTTGTGGCAGGATATGGTGATGTTGGCAAAGGCTGTGCCCAGTCCCTTCGAGCATTTGGTGGAAGAGTTATTATAACTGAAATAGATCCTATTAATGCTTTGCAAGCATCGATGGAAGGATACCAGGTATGTTGGTTTTAATTCAAATCAAATTACCTATTTTCTATATTTGGATGTACTGAATTTAAAATATTACATAAAATTTTCAATATAGGAAGTGAAATTTCTAGGTTCTTTTTAATTTTCCAAAACCAAAGATTCAAAATTTTAAATATTGTAGTCTTTGTCAACCTTAAAAGATGACCTTCTTTTCTGTAAGGTCGTAACAGGCTCATAGTGCTTATTTCAGCATCTTTGGAGTACTATGTTAATTGACTTCAAATTGACACTATTTACAACTTGGCCTCCATTATAGGTGACAACAATGGATGAGGCTTCAAAAGTCGGTCAAATTTTTGTAACTACAACTGGTTGCAAGGACATCATACTAGGAGAACACTTTCTAAGCATGCCTAATGATGCCATAGTTTGCAACATTGGACATTTTGATTGTGAAATTGATGTTCTTTGGCTACAAAAAAATGCTGTGGAGAAAGACACTATTAAACCTCAGGTATATTAATGGTTTATTCTACTTATCTTTGTGAAATAAATAAATTTAAAAAAAAGAAGAGTAATTTAATAAATTTTTCTTTTAGGTTGACAGGTACAAACTCTCAAATGGTCGTCATATTCTGTTACTGGCTGAAGGACGTCTTGTCAACCTTGGTTGTGCCATGGGTCACCCATCCTTCGTTATGAGTAACTCCTTCTCTAATCAAGTTTTGGCTCAAATAGAGCTGTGGACTAAGCCTGAACAGTACACAGTCGGAGTTCATATTTTGAAAAAGAAGGTAATTTCTATTTCTCTTACATTCTTAATAAAATCTTCCTCTTGTGCACAATTCATACCATTTTACAAAATTCATAGTTGTTGGTGATTTCTTTTTTGTCATGCAGAATTATCCTGTTATCTACTTTTTTTTTTCCCCTATCGTGTCCACTGCAGACTATTCTCGCATCTCTAATCGCTATAGAGATTTTTATGTGACTGCATATTTTTTGTTCTTCTAGGTACAATTCACAAAAGTGTAATATTGGTAAATCATTGCTGTCCTAGCGCAACATCCACTTTTTCATTGCATATTTCTTACTTGTGTTATCTATCCTACATATTTTGCTACTTCCACAAAATATTTTCTCTTCTATATTATGCACTTTCCCTACATTATTACTGCATGTTGCCTACTCAATGTGTTGTGACTGATAAAGACAGTGTCAAATATTCTCAGTCAGGTTCACCCGCTTAAATTATCTCAGTGGCAGAAAATGCATGTCAGCTACAAAAATAATTTTCACCTTCGGATGTGAAATGTATCACGAATGCTATGTGAACTTTAACCCTAATTTCCTGGAAACTTAGGTAATCACTGACTTGTGACACTTTGATGGCATTTTTTAGTCGAATGGCCAATTAGTGCAATGTCTTCTATTGTGTCTAATCAGGCTGCAAAACTGCAGTTCTGGGTAACAATATATGAACCTTTTACTTCTGAAGGGATAGTTGTGGGGTGCATACACTTATGCTCACTATATGATCATAAAGGTTTGTATTTCAAAAATTCATTCAAGTGCTTTTTTTTCCTCCCTTCCCCGGCTTCTACTTATTGCTTGAAAGAAGTGTTACTCAACCTGGTGAACTTTCGTAATACACTGATATAGAATGTTAATTTTTTCAAGACAATGTTGCTTGGCTGCATGTGGATGGGAGAGGGTAAATTTTATTATGGAAAAATTCTCAATTTGTTCTTTCCACATATCTTCAGGACACTCTGAAATAAAACCATATTTACCAATTAACCATTGCAAATGAAATGTGTGTTGAAATGAAGGACAATTGATACAGTAATAGGAAAGTGGAGACCAAACAAATTTTCTCTGAGTATCAAATTCAGAGTAACATGTAACGTGACTTTAGTATGAAGATGGCTGTGGTGTAGTCAGTTATTTTATTTTATTTCCTTCCCCTCTAATTCAGAGTTCGTTATCAAATATTCCCTGAATTCTGGTAAGCATGTCTCTACACTGTATGGTACCTTTGCATATTCTGCCAAAAACTTATAATTGGTGATCCTATGCTGAAAAACTCATGAACTGCAATTGATTTGATAACTTAAAACACGCTCGGCAAGATTAATTATGCATTTTCGTAGTTGTTAAGCAAATGCATTTTATAATAAGCCATGCCAATTTATTGTGAAACCTCATACTAAAATTACAATACCCTTTTCTTTTTTTTCAGTTGGATGAAGAGGTAGCTGCTCTTCATTTAGAACACTTAGGTGTTAAGCTTACAAAGTTAACTGCAGATCAAGCGAAATATTTGGGAATACCTGCTGAAGGGCCTTACAAACCAGATCATTATCGTTACTGAGCTGTTAATCTGAAGTCTCAAAATAAATGATCTGAACTATACATCCCCGTGAGAGCTAGGTGTAACAAAAAGTGAACAACAGTACATTGTTGATATTGTTTATTTCTGCTGAGCACTTTTTCATCCACCAGATTTCATATTGTGAGGTTTTGAACTTATTCCAAATGTTTTATAATGAATTTTTGTCCACTTGCAGTAAGACTGCTGTATTCCAGGTTTTGTAATTTTTTTAAGAAAACTTCTAAAGGAGTAGCTGGTTTGTGCCGCTGGCATTTGTGCCATGTTTCAAAATGTACTTATATAATGAGCGTTTTATTTTTCTTCAATAAATTGTGTTGACGTTTGAGATATCATAATTCCTTGGTAACCTGAGGGGGCAGTTTACATGACATCTCCATCCTATTTCCCCTCTAAAATTTGCTAAGTTTATGAGAAACCATTCATACAAAATCCTTTCTATTTGTATGATAGACAATTCCATTGCTCGTGCTTTGTAGATTTAAGATACATAGTTGACAGATCATTTATAGTGTCTAAAAGGATTTTTGAGTCCCTCGGGGAAATAAGGTTATTATATAGTTACATGCAAAATGATATCTTTTTTGGATGTTTTATTACGTTCGTCCATGTGGGGACCCACTCTGTCAGCTGTAGCTGTAACTTTATAAAAGTATTTTGTAATATACTACTTATTTTTTAATTTCCAGTGTAATGTTCAGAAACATACTGTTAATGTGTGGGGGAAATGGAGACTTGCAAGGCAACCTGCCAAGATCATGCCTTGGACATGGGCTGCACTTGCCCCAAATTTCTTTAAGTAGTATTCTACCCGACACTTTTAAATCTATATGGAGATTCATCTTGGGGCCCGGCAACTCTCTATCAAAACTAGGGACAAAGCTCGAGGTTCCTACTATAGGAAGCGCTAGTGTCGCCAGGTGCAGCTGCAGGTTAGGCTCGCCAAGTTTCCCACATACAATTTGGCTAATTTGTGAGAAATACGAAAAGTGTCTTATAAATGTACTATTATTCATAATCTATACTTAT